TACCTTAAAAACACTATTTTTGAACTGCCTATTCCTGATTTAAACCATCTGCAGGCTCGACTTATAGACAAGATTCGTGAAATTAACAATACCCCGAGCATCTTAGAAAATGTCTTTAATTCTTTGAGGAACAGGTGTGAAAAGTGCTTGGAACAAGGAGGGGGACACTTTCAGCAGCTGCTTTAATTTATTGTTATAACAAGGAGGGGGACACTTTCCTCAGCTCCTTTAATTGTTTGTTATTGTTATCACGATTATTCTTTGAAATAAAGTTATATAGTCATTAATGTTATTGAAACTGACAGCTGCTATACAGCTCGTTGAGAAATGAGGTTAAGTTGGTCGCTATAAGCTACTACCTACGTCCAATGTGTCAGAGCCAACTTCGACCACGTTTTTATTTGAATGCTCATTATAATCAATCATAAAAAAAATTGCTACGCTGCATATAAATAATCACAGTAAATTTTTTTACTTATTTTATTTGTATAATATAATACATAACATATAAAAATGAGAAAGCCTATTTTGCTCCGAAAAAAAACGTCATTGGTTTTTTTACCATAACTCGGTTAATTTTGAAGCTATAGTATCCTCCAAAAAGCATTTTAAAGATAATTTCAAGAGCTGTAAGATCGTTTGTATATAAAACCCTTTAAGTCCTTCGTTTTTTAAAGCGAAAGGATCAAAGGGCTCGAGACAGGTCGTTTTTTCACTAAAAAGGATACTTCAAGCGGCGATATCTCCTTTATTTTTTATGCTATAGGAATAAAGAAAAGCAAAATATTTGTTGAAAAAAAGCTACATTTTTGTTGTCTATCATGTTTTACGTATCTTTAACAGTTTCAGAGTTATTATATATATATAAGGCAATTTTTTTTGAATAATGAAAAATACCTTTTCAACTTTTACCGTACATTATTAAAAAAATACGCATTCTAAACCAGTCTAACATTCAGGATCGTATGAAAAACACTAAAACAAAACTAATTGTAAAGAGTCCACGATTAATTTTAATTCTGATGGAAACGGTACAGCGTTTACTGTTCATTTTTCCTTAAAAAATATGAGCAACCCATCTGTTTTTGACGATAACTCCTTCAATTTTGCTCTAATTAACTTTTATAAATGCTCATTTTGAAGGTCTTTTTGAGTACTACAAAAAACTTCAGGAGCGTTATACACGTAAAATTAATCCTTTTTCCGTTATTTGACGTTGAATACATCAATTCGAGTATTCCCTCCAAAACAAGTCCCCTTCCACTAACCATATTTCGCTTTGTATAGGACATACGACATTTTTTAAAAAACGATTTTCTTTGTTTATTTATAAGCTACATTTTTGATCATTACACTTTTTTTAATAAAATGCGTAGTTTTTGAGTTATTCGCGAAAAATACTTTGAAAAGTGTTTTTTTTTTTCAGTTTTCAATCCTGAATAACTAAAAAACTATTGATTTCTCGAAAAAATTCTTCGAATATTTTTTGCTCAAAATTTGATTATCGATTTCCAGCGTTATTTTTGAAAAAAAATTTCCACCCCCGAGAAGGGGTGTCAACCCCCAACAGGGTGAAAGTGTCAATCGGCGCTATGTCACTAATGTTCATTGACCTTTTCTCTATCTGCCAAATTTCAAGTCGATCGGTTCAGTTTCAAAGAATTTGGAGGTGAAAAGCTTCAATGACTGTACTAAAAGACAATAAAAAAAATGGAATAGAGAAAAATAAACTTAATTTGTTGCCGTCATCATAAAAATAAATTTGATTTACTGAATTTATACTAAATACGAAAGTTAAATGCTTGTTAATGAGTGAGATTGCTCCCGTTATCACGAATATCTCATTGTTAACGTTGAATTTAAATTCAGACTTACCAACACCTCTGCATCCCTTAACATCGTGTAGCCGTCGCATCCCGAATGCATATAATTCTTTGTCGCTAACCTGTAGAACTGGTCCAGCTTCAAGTACTCATCGCCGATCCTGATGAAGTTGGGATCTATCCTCTTTCCTGGGGGCTTATTGGGGTCAAAGGCGAAGCTTACACCTGCCACCTGAGGGAAACGGCCTTCCAGTTTCGGATACATCGATACTGAATTTTCTAACACCTCTACGATGGTCTGACCTAAAAATACCGTTTGAAAAAAAATCGTGGAATTCGCATCTCAAATTTCTCACCTGACACTTTCAACACCACCAGAGGATCTCGCATGGGAATAATATTAGTCAGGTCTCGCATCGTGAAATCCCCTGCGGGATGCACTTGGTCCGATCTGAACGTTCCCGAATTCAAGATCACTAAATCGGCTCCTGTCGCTGCCAAAACAACATCACATACCTGAAAAATAATTATGAAAGTATCGTTTGCAAAATTGGGTCTGGAAAACGTACCCAATTTCCTAAGTTTGATTCCGCTGTTCTGATGGACGTGAAACGTCCGTCTAGCGGAACAGAAAAACAGCCCAGAACTTCGTCCATTTTCCCTTCGATCATACCTAAAGCATAAAAAAAAGTCTATAAAAAGAATTGTTTGTTATACAGGGTGTATCTAAATAACACCGAAAAAATTCAAGGGGCGATTCTCCGATGAAAATTAATAGGGGTCTTTGGTAAAAAAATTTTTGAAAAAACCCTCCCCTGAAAAGTTACCCCCCTCCTAAAATTACAAAAAAAAATTGTTAAAGAAACCAAACTTGGTGAACATTATCTGTCAATAAAACTACACTTTTTGAATTTTTTTCAGCCCTGAACTATTTTTGTAAGGGGTTGAAATAATCAACCCCTATGACATTTTTTCTTATAATTTTTTTTTCGATAAAATTTTTTCCTTTTAACAAATATGTCTAAAAAACCCCATTCATTTACTAACTTTTTGATCTCTTCAAGTTTCTTCGAAAAGTTAAGGATTTATGACAAAAAAAAATAAATGTATTGTAATGTATTTTTAAAAAGATGAGCTGTTTAACGCGAGTGTATTTTGCCGAAAGATCTAGTGGCCTGTTCTTTACAATGGAATCCGTAGAAACAAATGTCAATGTCATTTATTGTTACTGTTTCTTACTATTTCACAAGTTTCATGATTTTGTGTAGAAAATATTAGTTAATAAACCGAAAATATGGTTAACTATTCGAATTTAGAAATGGCAGATATGCATTTTACATATGGGTATGCTAACGGTAATGCATTGGAAGCGCAAAGACTTTATGCTGAACAGTACCCAGAGCGTAGATTACCCCACCATACTACGTTCACAAATATTCACCAACGCTTGCGGGAACTTGGAAAATTTGAAAAGAGAAGTCATGACTGTGGCCGTAGCCGAGAAGTTAGAACTGAAGCTGTCGATGAAGCCGTACTTAATTTAATTGAGGAATCCCCAGAAACTAGTACCAGGAAAATAGCTCGTGTCCTAAATGTAAGCCATTCGGTAGTTTTTAGAATTTTAAAAGAACAACAGTTATATCCCTATCATCTCCAACGGGTGCAGTCGTTACTGATTCGAGATTTTTTACCACGTGTGGTTTTTTGTCAATGGCTTATTAATATGATCGGCCAAGCGCCGCAGTTCTTAAGAAATATTTTATTTACTGACGAGGCGAATTTCTCAAGAGACTGTATTAGAAATTTTCGTAACAATCATATTTGGGCTGAGGAAAATCCTCATGACTTTTTTGAAGGAAATCATCAGTATCAATTTTCATTAAATGTGTGGCTCGGAATTATCGACGATCATTTAATTGGTCCCTATTTTCTTCCACGACGATTAGATGGTGACTCATATTGTCATCTTCTCGAAGAATTACCTATTATTCTTGAAGAAGTTCCCATTCAAATTAGGCAACGTTTATGGTTTATGCACGACGGTGCACCAGCCCACTTTAGTATACGTGCAAGACGTCACTTGGATGAGGTGTATGCCAATCGATGGATAGGTCGAGGAGGATATGTAAATTGGCCAGCCCGCTCCCCTGACCTTAATCCTTTGGATTTTTGCATATGGGGATATCTGAAATCTTTGATCTACTCAAGGCCAGTTGAAGATATCAATGATTTGCGAAACCGCATTGTAGCAGGGTGTGAAACGATAAAAAATTCACCAGGAATATTTGAACGCATACGCAATTCTATGAGAACAAGAGTAGATGCTTGTATTGAAGCTGAAGGCAATCATTTTCAACATTTTTTGTAGATTGTATTGTCAATATCCGACAGATTTTTATTTTTTGTTACTGTTATAACATTATTCATCATTTGTTCACTTTTAGTCTAAGTTCCAAACTTCTTAGCCTAGTAGAATCATAGGTCAACTATTTGGTTGAGTGTTTTTTAATAAAATGTTATTTAATATGACAATAAATGACATTGACATTTGTTTCTACGGATTCCATTGTAAAGAACAGGCCACTAGATCTTTCGGCAAAATACACTCGCGTTAAACAGCTCATCTTTTTAAAAATACATTACAATACATTTATTTTTTTTTGTCATAAATCCTTAACTTTTCGAAGAAACTTGAAGAGATCAAAAAGTTAGTAAATGAATGGGGTTTTTTAGACATATTTTTTAAAAGGAAAAAATTTTATCGAAAAAAAAATTATAAGAAAAAATGTCATAGGGGTTGATTATTTCAACCCCTTACAAAAATAGTTCAGGGTTGAAAAAAATTCAAAAAGTGTAGTTTTATTGACAGATAATGTTCACCAAGTTTGGTTTCTTTAGCTTGATGTACGTGGAAGATAAAAAAGAAAAACAATTTTTTTTTGTAATTTTAGGAGGGGCGTAACTTTTCAGGGAAGGGTTTTTTCAAAAAATTTTATACCAAAGACCCCTATTAATTTTCATCGGAGAATTGCCCCTTGATTTTTTTCGGTGTTATTTAGATACACCCTGTATAACAGATGTGGTGGTGAAAAAGTCAAATTTTAACGATAATGAAACTTTGGGTCCTTATAGTTTTTTAAGGGATGATTTCTAGGTCCACATTTCGAATTAACTTTGCAAAATGAAAAATTAAAATAAGTGTAACATTTATACAAATACCGTTAGCTTAATTTTCATCAACACAATAATAACAAGGTGCAAATTAAAATATTTGCGTAAACTATTGACAATCACATACATCACGAATCAAAAAAATAATTGTTACCTGAAACAGTTCACTTTCAAAATACGAGGTGTTAAAATTTAAGGAAAAAAATTATTAGATCTTCAGTTAAACTTACTAGTATACTTTTCCAGTTTCTCCTTCAATTTAGGATCCTCCTGGATCTCGGACGTTACATTCACCTCTTCAATTGTCACCTCCGGGATGTCATTGCTTCCCGTTTTGTCAAAATTAACGGTAATCTTACTGAACTGTCTGAAGTCCGTGCCACTCTTAACGATGTACTTACCATTCACATGTTTAATTTCATAAACGTGATCGTGGCCACCTAATATTAAATCGATATCATCACAATTTTCCGCCAACTTGATATCGTTTGGCGTTCGCATGTGCGTTAATGCTATCACGTAATCACAACCCTAAAAAAATTGCCAGCAACGAGATTATTACAGTTCATATTCGGATTCGAATCACTTACCTCTTGCTTTAACTGCGTGGCCAGCTTTTGTCCTGCTTCGACGTAATCCAAAAAAGTAGTTTCTTCGGGATTGATAGTAGCGAGGGTATCTAACCACTCTTTCTCTACCAGTCCCACAAGACCGATTCTACGTCCTTCCCAATGTACCACATGGGTGATTCTACCTTCTCCCAACGGGCGTCCGGTTTCATTGTCGAGAACATTGGACATCAGCCAAGGGAAATCGGTCTTTGAGACCCATTCCGACAACACCTCTAATCCATGATCTAGAAACAAACAAAAATTACTCAATAAGTAATGATATATTTACATTAACTTACCAAAATCATGGTTTCCCAGAACTGCGCAGTGTGTACCGATTTCATTCAAGACAGGCACCATTTGTTCCCCTCTTGTAAAAGTACTCACTAAAAGTAATTTTCTCTTGATAAAACTGTGCTGTTAATATTAATTTAATAGCAAGACAGACTTTCTCTTATAAATTTTCTTGAATTATACACTTACGCATGCTAGGTGAAAAGGCGTCACCACTGAATAGTATCAACGGGTGTAAGTGTTGGAAACTTTTAATGGCGGTGCTAAAACGAGCAGCGCCCCCGACAGGTTCTGGTGACTGTCTCGGTTCGACGTTGTAAACATCGTTGAAGTGCAATATGACTAGGTTTGGAGACATTATGCCACCAGCCAACGTACTAACTGCCCTTCTGCCCGCCGCGCGAACTTCCAAAGAGGCCTTGAAGGAAATGAAAATACGGTAAATTAGATAATTACAGGGATTTATATGTAGAAACCATGCCAATTTGAAAATATTTTAAATTTATTAAATTAGTGTTAGGAGTAAAACAATAGTCAGTACACAAATATGATTAAAATATGGAAAATAAACTTTTTAAGCAGTAATTTCACAAATGCACAAATACATATTTTTGAAATATTTGACTTGAACTGTGCTATGTTTGACAACGAACTGAATTTAGAAAATCTACTTTCTATCAAACTGTAACAATAATAAATCTCTTACCCAAGGATTCTGTAGTTTTATTAATAAATGTTTTATAAAAACTGTTTGTAATTTGATAAACAATCTCATGGAAAGTTTTAAGAAAAAGGTGCAGCAACTTTGAACCATTTACATTTAATTTGTACCATGAAATAGATAAGTTCAGTTTAATTACAGTGGTCACAGTCTTTTATATTGCAACACACAAACGTGTAGGCAAAAAGTGAATTTGGCACAATTTCTCTTATATTTACATACTTTTATGAACAACTTTGTGTACTATATTGAACAGATATTAACATAAGCATTTATGGTACATATATTTTTGTTACAATATTTAATGTTTTACTTTTACCAAGGGATTACTCATGCTGTATTTAAATTATTTTCTAATTATTTTTTTTAAACTACAACATCCACAGATATTTTATTAACCTGTTTCAACCAGCCAACAACACTAGTAACTTTACTAGTAACCTCAGGTGGCACCTCGATGCTGTGCTCCTCTACAAGCGAACTCCACTTGGCCCTTAAGGCAGCTTGTGCAGCAAAACTTGCCATTTTTCGAATAATTTTTGCAATTTAGACGACGGGGGGAAGTATAATTTTAAATTGTATTAATTTTTGAGGTCAAATTTATTAAGTGTGTTATATAAATCTACTTATTTTAGATGTGTTCCAAAATTAGCATATTAAGTAGGTGCATGAATGAATTAGTTTTACAAATTAATTTCAAATTAGCCCCAGACCACATATAGGACAACGTCGTAGACAGTACCTTTTTAACTTGTAATACCACAATATTTAATTTTTTTAATTAATTACAATGTGCTCTTTCGAACAATGAAATACTTCACTTAAATATCACTAATTATTACTTTATAGATTACACATTATTAGAATTTAGGAAATAATTGACTGATGGTTTAACCTTTCGTAAATTATTATTTTTTGAACATTTCTGACTATTTTAAAAGGGCACTGGATTCCAATGGCAAAAAATTTCATCTGCATGAAAATATGACATCTAGCGATCGATAGAAGAATTATTATCTTATTCATAACTTATGAAGATAGATGCGCAATTCACCAACTTATATACAAATTTTTGCGATACATATATCGCCTCCATAATCAATTCTAGATTTGTAGTTGCAGAAAGTCTTTCGATTTGGCAAAAATAGTAGTTTTTAGCTGACAGTAACTCAGAGTTATTTTGAACTGATATTAGCTACTACTATTGTCAAATCGAAAGACTATACGACATTAAAATAGCCGTAAAATATAAATTTAAATTATGGTCGACTAAACTTAAAATTTATGATTGATTAGATATTTCGCTCCTGAGCATAAAGAATTTATATTATATAAATTACGGGGGCACAAGACTGAACTACCTAAATAACTGGAAATAACCGAAATCGCTATAAGGCGTATTCGTTCGACTAAGATTTTCAGATTGATTATAACCTAAATAGTTGATCATCAGTTGATTAATTATACAAATTTGAAAGGTTTGAAATGTTGGTTGCACAAACCTTAACGTAACAAAAATTGTAAGTTTGTGGTTGGTTGAATGCAACTTCAGTTTTTGTATGACAAACATATGTCTTGTCACTAGTTGTAAATAACCGGTGTACGCATTACGCACATTTTTTAATGGTGTGAAAATGGGTAGCACAAGGTGATGGTAAGGTAATTAGTGGTAATGTACTGGCATAATAAATAGTAACATAAACATATTATGCATTGCGTTCCTTGACTTCGAAAGTGGCTAACGGTTAGTGTTAGATATATGGACTTGTAACATTATACCCAATATATTGCAAATATTTTCAATTTTAGTAATATTTCACGATGCTAACCCTTACTGTAAGGAGAATAACTTCGAAAATAATATCAAGAAGCTTGTTCAGTACAGCAGCGAATTGCAAGCGCTCCGCCGATCCTATACAAGACTCTCTTTTGGAAGAGAAATGTTTTTTGGTTGATGACACAGATCATATTATTGGGCAGGCTTCCAAAAGAGACTGCCACTTGGTTCAGAAAAATGGTCATATTCCTCTTCATAGAGGTTTTAGTGTCTTCTTGTTTAATAAAAAAGGAGATTTGCTTTTACAGAAGCGATCTGCAGACAAGGTACAGTTTATACTAGATCTTTTCATTTTTAGTGTTACTTTTAAAATGTGTAAAACATATTTTAGAAGGTATTATATTTTCTAGAAAAAGTGATTTTCAAATAATAATAAATGTAACAATAAATAATAAAAATAATGATAAATGACATATTTATGCAGAGGCTGATTGGTATATTAGTGTATGGTATTCCAGATAACTTATCCAGATATGTATACGAATACCTGCTGCAGCCATCCAGTAGCTGATTTTCCAGGAGAAGACGAGGAAGAAAACGCGATAGGAGTGAAACGGGCAGCTAGGAGGCGTTTGAATTATGAACTGGGCATCCCTCTCGAGAAGATCCCATTAGAAAATTTGAATTACATTACTAGGATCCATTACAAGGACGAGGGTAATGGGAAATGGGGTGAACACGAAATTGACTACGTCATATTTTTTCAAGCAGACGTTAAAGTGAAACCTAATTCAAATGAAATATCGGAGATCTCTTTTGTGCCGAGAAAGGAGTTAGACGATTTTATTCCGACACTTACAGGTCCAATGACGCCCTGGTTTCAGTTGATGCTAAAGCACAGACTTCGGTTCTGGTGGGACAATTTGGATAACTTGGAGGAAATTAAGGATCACTCGAATATTTTGAAATTTTCATAGTGTCCCGTAAATCGTTTTATTTAATTTTAGAGGTTTAGGAATGTCTTACATTACGTTATTTATATTACACGACTTGTATAATAATTTTAAATAAGTGTGATATTTTTAATAAGTACCAGAGGGAGAATAAAACCACAATCAAATATATTTTTTATTTCACTTATGACGTTTTTTTTAGCATATCGTCAAATATTTATTCTTTATTTTGGAAAAGTTAAGGAACTAGAAATATTATAGGCCGTCACATACATTAAGATCCGAAATTTGTGTATTGTCTACCAAAATGCTAAATTTTGGAACAAATAGTTACATATTTGTGTTGACACCTACAGTTACGATGATCTGGGAACATTTGGGAAATAACATACAGGGTTATCCAAAAGTGCCGGTTTGACAGAAAAACTTTCGAAGAAAGCATTTTGGGAAAAAAGAATGAAGGTGACCTTGGATTTGACCTTGACTTTGACCTTCAAGGTCATTTAAATTAACCCTATTTTTATTACGGATTTGGAAAGTGCAAGAAATTTTACGTCCAAATATGGTCTTGACCACGACTTTGACAATAACCTTCAAGGTCAAATGTGGGTCGACTTCCAAAACTCCCGGTACGGCAGAACTTTCGAAGAATGCATTTTGGGAGAAAATGTTTCAGACAAAAGTACGGATTTTTCCCTGGCTATCTGATGATGACCTTGGATTTGACCTTGACTTTGACCTTCAAGGTCATTTGAAGGTCAAGTTAAGTTTTTTAAATAGAAACCTCTATTTTTTTATTGCATTGTTAAAGTCATGGTCCAGACCATATTTGGACGTAAAATNGTACGGATTTTTCCCTGGCTATCTGATGATGACCTTGGATTTGACCTTGACTTTGACCTTCAAGGTCATTTGAAGGTCAAGTTAAGTTTTTTAAATAGAAACCTCTATTTTTTTATTGCATTGTTAAAGTCATGGTCCAGACCATATTTGGACGTAAAATTTCCTGCTCTTTCCAAATCCACAATAAAAAATAGGAGTTTCCATTTAAAAAACTTAACTTGACCTTCAAATGGCCTTGAATGTCAAAGTCAAGGTCGAATCCAAGTTCACCATCAGTTAGCCAGGGAAAAATCCTTTCATATTTGTCTGAATCAGTTTTTCCCAAAATGCTTTCTTCAAAAGTTTTTTGCCATACCGGGACTTTTGCATAACTTTGTATGTTTCTTAATTGCCTGTGTATTGTTGAGTTCTAGAGATAAATTCAACTACGAAGTTTTTAATAATTTCTTAAGTAGTACGTTTGAAAATAAGTAAACTTTTTTCATAAAATAGCACTATAAAATGTACTTGCCAACGCAGTATTTTTTAATAAAAAGTGACTGATAATGTTGCTATAATGACAAGGTTATTGTTTTGTTAAAAATTATTTCAGTTTTGAACGTGACTCAGACCATCATAAATAACCACAAATAACTAATTTTACAAATAAAATATTAAAAACGAACGGTTAAAGATCATACGAATTTGAAATTTATTAAATCAGCTCAAGCTTATTAAGGTGAATGAAAATATTTAAAAAATAATTTGACTTGATTTGTAAAACGGATATCCTGGTTTTCAATGGTAATATATGCATTATGTTCCTCGACTTTGAAAGTGGCTAACGTTAGTGTTAGATTATTGGACTTGTAATATTATATCTACTCCTTCCAATATATTACAAATATTTTCAACTTTAGTAATATTTCACAATGCTAAATATAAGAAGAATAACTTCAAAAATAATATCAAGAAAACAAAAACGAAGTGTATCGATGGATGAAGTTGAAAAGATGAAAATTTTTTTATTGTTCATTCACTTCATTCGTTTTCTTTATATCTTAATTACTACCTATACGGGAGAGTAAATTGCAAAAATGGAGGTATATATGGTAAATGGCTTTAAAATTTGTAACATCAGAAAAAATTTATATTCCAAACAATTTTTTCTAATAAAAATTTATATTCCAAACAATTTTTTCTAATAAAAATTTTTTATATCTTGCACAAAACTACCTACAGGCTTTTTTTAATTTAATTTTACAAAAACGAATATATGTTATAAATTACTTTTTATCGAAGCAGGATCATTTCTCTAATCCCAAGTTTTAAAGCTTATAGTTAAAATCAAGCTTTTTTCGTTGACAACAGTTACAAATTACTAATTATGCTTCTTANACGCAGTATTTTTTAATAAAAAGTGACTGATAATGTTGCTAATGACAAGGTTATTGTTTTGTTAAAAATTATTTCAGTTTTGAATGTGACTCAGACCATCATAAATAACTACAAATAACTAATTTTACAAATAAAATATTAAAAACGAACGGTTAAAGATCATACGAATTTGAAATTTATTAAATCAGCTCAAGCTTATTAAGGTGAATGAAAATATTTAAAAAATAATTTGACTTGATTTGTAAAACGGATATCCTGGTTTTCAATGGTAATATATGCATTATGTTCCTCGACTTTGAAAGTGGCTAACGTTAGTGTTAGATTAATGGACTTGTAATATTATATCTACTCCTTCCAATATATTACAAATATTTTCAACTTTAGTAATATTTCACAATGCTAAATGTAAGAAGAATAACTTCAAAAATAATATCAAGAAAACAAAAACGAAGTGTATCGATGGATGAAGTTGTAAGATGAAAATTTTTTTATTGTTCATTCACTTCATTCGTTTTCTCTATATCTTAATTACTACCTATACGGGAGAGTAAATTGCAAAAATGGAGGTATCTATATATGGTAAATGGCTTTAAAATTTGTAACATCAGAAAAAATTTATATTCCAAACAATTTATTCTAATAAAAATTTATATTCCAAACAATTTTTTCTAATAAAAATTTATATTCCAAACAATTTTTTCTAATAAAAATTTTTTATATCTTGCACAAAACTACCTACAGGCTTTTTTTAATTTAATTTTACAAAAACGAATATATGTTATAAATTACTTTTTATCGAAGCAGGATCATTTCTCTAATCCCAAGTTTTAAAGCTTATAGTTAAAATCAAGCTTTTTTCGTTGACAACAGTTACAAATTACTAATTATGCTTCTTAAACTGGTTATGTATTATTGAGTTCTAAGTATAAATTCAACATTCAACAACTAATATATTTCTAATCATTTCTTAAGTACACATTAAGAATTTCCGTCTTTCAACTCCAACTGGATATAAACATACTAGGTACCTACTTGACCACGGTCCGTAAAATAGACTTTACAGACCGTAAAGTCTTTTTTAAGTACTTGACAACGTAATATTTTCTTTTGTTAAAAAATGACTGATAATATTGCCGTGCTAATGTGAAACATATTGTTTTGTTAAAAATTCAGTTTTGAACATGCCCCAGACCATCATAAATAAAAGATAACGCATTTTGGGTAGAAAAGTTAAAAATAGAAGGTTAAAGATCATATGTATTTGAAATTTTTTAAATCAGCCAGAGATCATCAAGGTGAAGTAAAATATTTAAAAATAATTTGACTTGAATTGTAGATTGTTTTTTTCGATGGTATTTTCGGTGTCTTCTGTTTCTCATGTTGTTTCTTGGGTCATTGGGACCAAAATGTTTTATTAATCTAAGATTTAATTAAAGCCTTTAATTTTCAAGATGAAGAATATTGGAAATTAAAAAAATATATTCATATTTAAGGGCATCTCATCCCTAATATGACGAGTCCAAGGTCATTTAAATATGTCCTTGTACGAGTCTAGTCTTTACCGACCTGCGCACTATCTGCACTGCACACAATTTGATATTTACATTTTTTTATTTTATTATTTTGCCAAAGTAGTTTTAATTTATAATTTATTCTTATAATTTTGTGTCTTTATTAAATTTACTTTTGGTCGCTCAAATAAAAGTTCCCCATGATATTTTAAATTTAGCAGTGTAATTTTTTTCAAAATGTTACGTTTAAAATATTTAACACATTTATTTTTATTTTCGATCATTTCGTGTAAAATATAGGTATAGAGGTAAATATATAGTGGATCTACGGACGGGGGTTAAATGCCGTTTTTTTATTTTATGGAGAAATCGTTCTTATTAAATAATTTTTGTTCAAATGTATAAAAATTTAGTTTAGTTACTTACTAAAAATAATTCCTAAATACTTAACCTCTAAACTCTAAAAATTTTTTTCCTTGCGGTTTGGAGGTTATGTTATGGATTTGTCTCCAATTTGAATTAAATATTTAAATTTACATAACTATGAAAAGGACGTCGGTGTTATTGCGCCAACATATAGGGTGGCATTTCGAGAAGCATTGGAGAGTTCAAGGTAAGAGGAAGCCATTAAACACTGGAGCAGAAAAGATACTGAAGGAACGAAATATTCCATTTTGTCAGCCAGAAGATATTATTCAAGAAAAACGGGTGTTTGAAAAGTATTTCTTACGGTGTTTTTAAATACTGTTTTCTTTAACTATAATCAATTGTAGAGTTGAAATTGTTGGATTTAAGAATAAGCCCGTAGTATTCGATAAAACACATCCCGACTGGCATGACAGGCCCGTGTTATCATACAAAGACAACAACGTTTTGTTAGAGGGATTAACCCAGGCAAAAGTTTTAACAAAATCTGTGGAGGTGAAGGAAGGTTTACCAGAAAATATTGTCCTGGAAGATATTCCAAAAGACATAAAGAAGCACGTAAAAAATATTATTCTCAGTTCATGCGTGTTCGATGCTGAACAGAAAAAGTTACCGAAAATTAAGGACCCAGAAAGGCCTGCATGGAATTTTCCTCGGTTCTACGGGATCACACAAAACAGAGCAAAGTATATATAATGAAATAGTATTGCCTTTCCAGTAATAAGTTTTTATTTTAGCAAATTGTTGATGTCGAGGTTGCTTCAATTGATAGAGTCTACATGTGGACGTGATGATTTAGTTAACGAACGATACCTATTTAACGACTTGCTGTTTTCGTTTCCATTTGAGAGGCATGGCGATCTAATACAATTTCAACTAAGCGGGGATACCGTGATAACGAGTTCGAAGCCATTGTCTCCCATTACAGGGGTATCAACTGAATCTTTAGAGTTACCGGACATTACTCCTGTCAAACCAACCATTACTTTGGTTAAAGACAATATCTACAAGCTCGAGAAGAGTTTTCGTAAGTATTTGGTATCTTACAGTGGATTATTGTTAGTTGATATTTATCGTTTCAGCTATTAAGTCCTTTGTTAGTAAATTACACCCTCATACAATTTTTACGAGGTACAATAAGGAAGAGGTAAAAAATCTGTTTGAGGAAGAAGTGACCGAAGCACAAATTTTTGGAAGATCTCTATTGAAGGCTTTCACGGTTTCTGCTAGTTATGCTAGGTATCAGTTTGGGGTAAGTATCGTATCGGTTCGAGAACAATAATCTTCAATTTGATTTTCAGGATGATGTGGGACAACTTCCGAAACCAGTCACGGTACAGTCGGTACAGACAGATGGACAGTTTTATCATTTCGGGGTATTTCAGTTGAATACGCTGGATTTAGAGAAAGGGGATGTGAAAAACGTGTGGTACCAAACTCCCTTGTTGTATTTATACGATAAATGTTGTTACGTCCTAGGGAAACCTACTTTGGAGGGGTATAACAAAGAGGTAGTTAAACATTTATATGCATTTTATAATAGCGTTTAATCCAGTCCAGTTGTGTATTTATGAAACGGAAAAAAAATAAGCGAATACTGTTTGTAGGTAAGAAATAAAAAATATGAATATATTATTTCCTTTCATTTTAATATTGAAATAAAATTGAGTAAAGGATATTTAAGACATTTACGAAATAGCAATTTTTTGACAAAAGTTTAACAGCCTGTATTTTGAAAACGAAGCATGTGTGGACCAATGTTTATATGAACTTTTCTCTTAAAATCACTCAAATAATCGTCTGTTGAATTTATTGTACAACTTAATTAACGCGTATTTCTTATACGGGGTGTTCGGAAATAGTGGTATTTCATTTTGAGGGTAGATTTGTCGACATAAAACAAAAATTTCATATAAACATGGGTCCGCAAATCCGCCCTACGGGAGGTAGACGTATTTGAAGATGACGGTTTAAGACGGTTTACTTTGATGAATAAAAATTGGGTCTATGTGTTTCAGACGCATCACCGTGCGTCAAAACGGCTTCAAAATACATTCGAACCAGCTATAGAATCCTCCAAAAGTATCAAAATAGCTATAAAATATGTCGGAGTACATAACAACAGCATCGGAAAACATTAAAATTTATCAAAACGATTTTAGAATACAACAAAATACGTCAAACCAGTCTTAAACAGTATAAAAATTCTTCAATTTTATCAGCAATTACTTTAAAATAGTCTGGAAACACCTTTAAAATTGATCAAAAACCCCGCAATTCCACAAAATTATAGTAGAAATGCATTAAAAACTTTTGGAAACCTCAAAATAGGCTCTACAATACTTTAACATATACAGGGTGATTCACAACTTATCAAAAAAAAAAAAAAAAATGGGAATAGATACAGCATGAAAAATGGAGTCAATATCATAAAAAAAATTGTACAATTCTAAACTTCTTCTAAACTTTCCGGGAAAAAAATTATTGAAGTTGTAGTATTTTCAACCATTATATCGTTGAACAACTGAAGTCTCTAGCGTTATTCGTGCTGTGTGCTTTAATGTGTGTGGAGAGCCACGTGGCCCCAGCGACTCCGAATACTGAAATCCGATTACAATTAGTATTAACATCGTTGCGATAGTGTTTACAATAGTTGTTTAGTAGTTAGTGTCAAAAATGGCTTACCTGTATAGCAACTCGGAGTTGATGGATATCATTAATATATGGTGAGACAAAACAACATTTGTGTTAGTTCGCAGAAACTGGGTAAGACGGGCCCAAATGTGTTTACATGTCGGTATGTCAAATTATTTTATTAATTAAAACCACATCAATTAATTATAAATTAATATTAACAATAGCGGCAAAAGCAGTTGAATTTGATACAAATAGGTGTTCCAAAATTCTATTTATTTTTCCTTGCAAAATATTTTTCAAGTTTTTATTTGTTCATTTCTTATTACACTTTGCTGCCATGACGGTTGCAGTGTCAGGTTTTACAGTGGATCGCTTCCAGTGTCATGTAGAAGTGTATCATTTTCGAACTGCCATTTTCGATTTTTTTTTACAAAATTGTATTTTGTAAGTCCGCTGTACATCCAAAAATTTTTTTTTGGATAAGTTCTTAATCACCCTGTATTATGTATAGTATATTGAAATATATCAAAATTTTTTGAAAAACCTTTAATTACATTGAAATATGCACCTTGTTTGAGGTATTTTTAAGTATTTCCTGATATTTTACAGGTATTTTGAACTTTTCAACATATTTCGAATGGCCAGTTTGACATATCTTGTATTCTAAAAATATTTTGATTTATTTTAACGCTTTCGCTGAAGTTATTTTCAAGTACATTGATATATTTTATTAGTTTTGATAGTTTTTAAAGGATTCTAAAGCCAATTTGAAGAAATTTTAATGGATTCTTTGGAAGTTCTTTGTTGTTTTGAGATATTTTGTTTTATTTTTGTAAAGTTCTTTATTGCCTTGTAAAATGATTTGTAGTATCTGCTTATATTCTGAATAAGTTTTTGCATATTTTCATTTGATTTATAAGTAATTTTTCACAATTTTTTTTGATGTCGTCAAATAAAATTTCATATTTTGGTCTTTGTGATCTATAGGGGGTCTAACAATAAGTGGTGAATAAAAATGGAAAAAAAAATAATTTTGAGGAAAATTTTGGAAAACGATTCTGCTTTAAATTTATATAACAGAATGTTGGCTATCCTGAAATGAAACCGAAATAAAATTTCACGGACCTGTAGAGGGTTTCTGATTTCGAGACGACGGATGTGAAAATGAATAAAAGATAAAATATATCAAAGTAAGAGCCAACATAATGCATAATTATTTGTTTTTTTATCTGGAAAGTTATTCACTGAACATAGTAAAATAAAACGGTGGCCTACCTGAAAAATACGTCAACTACTATTTTAAGATGTTCCTAGTTTGATGAAAAAAAATAAAAATAATAATCGATCTCCCCTGCATAAAATTTAATTGAAACAAAACATTTTATCATTCTCTTTTATTATAACTTAAAATTATGTCACACCGATGCCCTCTTGATCCGCAAATTTGAGGACAGAACGGTGTGAGATGGATGATAACTTGTATCCAGCAATAGCTCTTCATTTTCGGCATGGTTTAAGCCCAAACAGTTGCAGGAACAAACCGACATTTGATCTATCTCACCCTCTTCCCCAATAAATGCATGCCCCGCCAACAGTTTCCCATTCACCGCCATAACTTCACCGTCCAAAGTGAGCACGTGATGGGAGGAAGACTGCAGGTCTTGATCGTCACGACGTATATCTTCCGCGTTCCTAAAATATAATAAACGTTATGGTAATAAGTATAGACGTTGGAAAATGAATCTTACATTGTCATGAAACGTAATACCAGCAAATTAATGCTGGCAGCAACCACTGCCAGCCCAAACAGAATAAAAACCAAACTTAGAGCCACGTAACCAGGTTTGTTGATGAGGGCATTATCGTTCTGTAAGTGAAAGGTATTTTCACTAGACTTCTGTTATTTCTGCATTCACTTACCTGCAAAGCGACATAGTCGCCAAAGCCTATAGTTGTGAGGGTGACGAAGCAGTAGTAAAAACTGTCGAAATAGGTCCATCCCTCATACCGTGAAAACACAGCAGCTCCTGTAGTAATTATTATGGAAGACAGCATCCCAGTAGCAAACATGAGGTTCATCTCGGTCGCTTCGATTTTTTGACAACTCAGGTACTTTTTTATTTGTCTGATGACGACGGAAGCGAATTTGTTCAAACGTTCACCGATACTTTGAAACATGACGAGCCCGAGGGGGATTCCAACCTGTAATTATGCGATATTCTTACTTTGTTTGGGTTAACGGTTCTATATTACCATAGCGTAGCCCATACAGAAAGCCTTACCACCTGCAGTGACCGGTGTCGAGTGCCCGTAGCCGATCATGGCTAAAACAACTGTGGCGAAATAGAAAGCACCGGCAAATTTCCATTGGGGACCGGCTTTGTGGGGTTTGTATTCGATGATGACTAGTTCAATCATTCGGTAGTCATCTTCAGATATGTTGTATTTTCTCTTTAGGGCATTTGTGGAAACTAAAAACAACTACACATGCCACAAATGTATAAGCACCTGTTAGTTGTACCTTTTAATAAGCCATCTCGTCTTTCTTCTTCCTTGGACTCTAGGGCGTCAAACACGGCAGCTCCGATAAGCAGGTAAGTAAATGTACATACGACTAATGATAGAGTTCTCACATTTTGTCTTTTCATTGCTTGAAGTCAGGAATTGGAATTGTTTATTTTTGTAAAATCGATTTTCTAGCGCCACTATTAGTACTATTTACTTCTTACAGTTGGCAATACGCATTGCAGCAGTTGTGAACACAGAAGAAAACTGTATATCTTTCCTTTTTTTATATGGAATATCCACAGAGGGAGCTAGTAGAAATAGAAAAATCAGTCAGATATTGAATTTATTTTAATGGAAATAAATGAACTGTTATATATTATTAATTATTATTCAGCGAACAACAGGGAAATAGAATTACAAAACTTTACTAGCTCAGTTTATGCGCAATCAGGCAGAATGCTAATCAACATTTCTTAATAAGTACGTCTGTGACAAATTTTTATATTCAGATTATGCCTGTTCAGTTTTATTAGCAAAATGTGTCTCGGTCTAGACAATTGTTTCTTTAAACTCCAGTACATGTTTTTCCACAAATTATTTATTTTTTGTTATTTCAATATATCTGGTTGTATAGATTCTAGTCGAATATTTTCTGATAGACTTCATCACATTCTACACGCGCGCCAAAATGGAAAACAGAAAAATTTGCGATTTATTCACAGCTATCTATGACAACCATGTTGACAACCCAGACATGCTTGAATTTTTAAAATATCTCTTTTTTTTTCGTTAAGAAATTGCCACACTCGCGCGCTTGCTTATTATATAGCTTATTTCACTCACTTTTAAAAAAGATAATACATATACAAATAAAAATCATGTTCTTGCAGGCGCGCATTATATCTTACTACAATATTCAGATCATTGATAAATGAGGTCAACTAAAGTAGCCCAAATCCCCATCCTTGAAGAATCCCCATAATAATTATAAATAATAGTTCATTATTTGTAACTATAAATTTCTCAGAAGAAGGCATCCTACAACTATCTAATATGTACGTTATCGAAAATTTTCGACAATTTTATGCTTGTGACGTCCGCCAGCTTACAACGGTCTAATGTTATAAGACTAATGTACCATCCGTATACGAAAAATATAAATAGCTTTTCGATTAGAACTGATAAAACAGAGTAAGTGCAGGCAAAGGATGCGATTGCGATGTATCTAATTCTTCGAGGCAATCAATCAGGCCTGTATATTACAAAAACAATGTTATCGCCGGAGATTAAGAAGTGGCTCTGATATATCTCGGAGATATCACATTTCTTACTGATTATTGTTTATTTAGTGAAAAGAGTTCGTGAAAATGAGTGCGAAAACGAAATTTACGAAGAGGCCCAATTCCGAGGTTTTCACTAAACCCAGGCTTGCTCTGAACAGAGTCGCCAGTTTGCAGTTGAAAAAAGAACCGAAAAAAGTTGTACGGTAAGGAATTAATTTATTTATTTTAAAGCGAAATATGGAATGTAAAAAAAATGATGTCACGAAAAGATCTTCATCTAATTAAGTCACTTGAAAAATGGCAGTGACGTCAGTGCGATTAATTTCCAGTCACTCAGATAAAGTGGGAAACATATGTAGGATGAATTTTCTTGACATTAGAAATCGGAGAAACAGATGTGGTTCTTACAAATCAAGAGACCATTGCATTTTTCCTTTAGAAAGAAAAAGGGGTTTAGTGGACCACAGAATGTTGAACCTTGAAAGGTGTAGGTATAGAAAAGTTGGAAAATGAGAATATGTATATGTATGTAATAGATAAACGAAAACTATTCGATTTTGGCTATGATATTCAGAAATTATTTAAATGTCGAAAATAAAACGAAAAAAAACTTAGTTATTTGAGAGCTGTCGAAAACAGGTTACAAAATAGGAATTAAAATTGAAATTTTACTAGCTTGTAGTAAAAGAAAACAAAATAATACCCGATTTTGGAAACAATGGTTTCAGATATAATAATCTCAATCTTATCTTAACTTGGTATAGATTCTGTTGCTTATATTACGTACAATAACATTTTTTTATTAAATATAATGATTACAAAAATCCATTTTCAACCATCTCATATAAAAAAATAATCCGTATATCGAAACTGCAAATAGATATATTCAGAGCAGTTAAATAACTTTTCTTTTGGCAACATCAAAAAATTAATTAATAATTAGTTTAATTTACTACTAATTCGTACTACCAGTTTAATACTACATCTTTTGTAGATTTATTTCAGAAAGGGTCAAGCGTATTGGAATTTGTCAAATTCAAATATTTCAGGAAAAAAAATATTTATGGAAATGACGTTTCATGCAAATACAATATGGAATACCCGTAATAGATATAATAGAAACATAAAATGAGAATAAGCAGATGCTCTTCTGTACATTTTTATTCGACTTGGGTAATATTTTTAATTTGTTTGTGTTGAAAGCTTGAAAGCAATATATCATTATATTTATCAGATAAGATATTGTTCCGTAATAAAAAAGCGTACAGTATGTTTACACAAATATCAATGTGGTTGATTTGTATTAACCTGATTTAAAAACATGTTATCAACGGTCTATACTTTTTAACATTTTTTTTTCAATTTATATCAGTCTCAGTTTCAATTATTTTTATGGGTGTGTTAAATTCGATAGTATTGGAGATTGTTTTCCGTTTTCCGAAAATAAATAGGATTTTTTGCAGTATATCGGTTTTTATTTTTCAAGTTTGGTACAAATTTTGGTTACAAAAAAGTAAAACTTTAATGCTTTTTGAGATATATATATATATATAATAAGATTTATTCGTTTCCGGTGCCTTATTTTTCAATTTAGGAAGTTTTTCAAGTACTTTATTATTCTCACATATAAAGGAAGCATTTAGACAAACAAATATACTATTTCTATATTTTCGCCTCAAACTTCACTTTTTTCGTTCACATTTCCCTACAAATGTATGTAATCATTTTATTTATAATAATTTTGACAACAGTGATGGAAACAATAATTTAATTTATTTTCGTTCTGGTTAGAAAATCTGTAACCATTTAATTTCGTGTAATAAAATAAGGACGTCAGTCATCACAATCATCACATACGTCACCGCAGTGTTTTGTCACTAACATTCATAGGTTGCTCAATTTTAATAACCGCTAAAAATTCTTATAGAACAAAAGTAGTAAAGATGTAACGATCTTGATATTCAAGAAAAGTAGAGTGACGCAAGCCGCATCTGGATTTCCTGATTATTTGAAGCGATTGAGAGCGATATTCGATTTTGACCGTATCTTTGACGGCCTTAACTGTTTTGTTTGCGAAAATTTCTTGTTTGTTAATAGATGCCTTCCCATTAAACATTTTTCAGTTTCTGACATGTTTCAGAAACGTTTCCATTTTTCTTGAAACGTTTCATAAAAAATCCATGCAACGTTTTGGTAACGTTCTAGAAGCCCAAGATGTCCTCCCCAAAATACGGTTTCAATGAAACGTTTCAAAAAATTGGTTTCAGTAACATTCTTTTTATGTTCCATTTATGCCCTCGATATTTTTGTTTTACATTTCAGTATATTTTCAGAAATGTTTGAGTAACATAATAATTTTATTACCATATTGTTCTCATAATGCTCTCAACTTTAGATCATTTTCATTTCAAAAGCGTTTTTGAAATAGTATAAATAGTGTATTTTTTTAAATATCTCTAATACTCCTTTGTGATATTTTAATTTGTATTGTGAATGACTTATTTCGAACTAAAAAAAGTTACATTGTATATTAAAAAAAATATGCTCTTCTAGTTTGGGGATGCGGCAACTTTTACTAAGAATTTCTTTCTTTTTGAGAAGCCACTGAAAAAGTTTCTAATATGGATTACGAATTTTGCCATTCATCGTACAAATAAAAATATCACAAAACAATATCTGAAGCATTAAAAAAAAGCTACACATTTTATATTGTTCAAATAATACGCTTCTGAAATGAAAATTTTCTAATGTTGAGACCATCATGAATATGGTAACAATGACGAACTGATAATTAGAAAAAGTTAGTTATGATTATGAATCTTGAAATGGTAGGTACATGAAAAACAAATAACATTACTGAAAAATAATATAAAGTTATAATTTCTTCTACGCATGGTCAATCCTTTTAATAATAATAAATAATACAGCAGAAATAAGGATACAAAATGATATCTTGACAAAGTAAATATCTGTAGGTATACCTAAACTCTTTTATTTAAGCATGTCTATACACATTAACAAATATAAACATTTGTACAAAATATAAAATAAATGACGTCTATTTCACTTGATTCATCCATATTTCAAATAGTTCTCACTAACTAAGTAGTTGCTCTTCAAATTATATCGAAACGTATAGTTGTTGTTCCATTTTCTTAGTTCTTGTCCTTTGTCCTATTGTCTGTAATAGGTAGTGGGCATAACTATATTTAGGTAGATGTGACGCAAAATTGGAAATCTCTACACATATCGTTTTAAACATTTTGCATCAATATTCATTATTTTATATGCACCTTACAATAACCACAACTGCACACACTACAAATTATCACATAAAATAGCGTCAAAGTAAAGATGAATAACAACGAAACCAAGCAAACTGACAAACCGCAAACCTAACCTAACATAATACGAATTGAAACGAC